AGAAATCAGCACACATCTGAATTTTATTATTCTTTTTCTTAACATATACAACAGGGCAGGCCCACTCTGAAAATTCAATGCGTGAAATAACTCCTAAATTTTCAAGCCGTTCCAATTCTTTGTTAATCTGTTCCAAAACACCAAATGGCACATTTCTTTTTTTCGCTTGAAAATAGGTTTACATTTTCCTTCACTTCAAATTTTGCCTTCGTCTTTTTAAACATCCAAGACCTCTGAAAATACTTGTGGAAATTTATTTTCAGATCTTTCACCAAATTTTCTGTAACCCGATTTTTTACATGGAGAAGAAACATTAATTCTATTGCAAAAAGAATTTATAGGGAGTTCCCATTAATTAAACAGTATAATCCAATCTGTTCCAAACAAATTTGAAGCATTTTGTAGCACATACACTTTAGACTTTAGTGTCTTACCAACAAATAAAATATTACAAGAAAATTCACCTTGAAAATGCAATTTTCTTCCAGAAATCCATGAGCCACTTTTTTTTCAGTCTTTTTAAGCAAAGGTCTGCCTATTTTAATCCATGTTGCTGTATTAATAATGGAAATATCACTTCCAGTATCTAGCTGTAGTTTAACATTTTTTCCATTAATTTTACCTGTACGAATTTTCTTTCTGCCCCTCCTCAATCTCCTGACATGACAACACAATATTCACATTATCTTTTTCGACTTAAATTTTTTTTTTTTGCTTTTTTTTAATGAGTACTTATATGGCCTTTATTGCCACACGAATAGCAATTTTTGTCACGAAAAAAACATTCACTTTTGAAATGACGACCACCACATCCAAAGCATGTTGGTTTTTAAACGTTTTTATTAACTATTCCCGTTTTTGGTCGAATAGCATGGACACGGGATATGTCTTTTTCAATTGCGTATTGTCATGTTTTAAGTTTTCAATTCTTTGACACTCTTCCGTAACCTTCTGCAAAGTGATCTCGGAATTTTGTTCGAGTTTTGCCAATATTCGGGACCTTATGTCCTTATCTTTGCTAGAAGTCAAGCCTTGAATGAATATCAAACATTTAAATCGATCAATTGAAAGATCATGTAATATAAAACGTTCACACATTCTGTTAACATTTTCAGCATACGTAACAACATCCTCATCGTCACGCTTTACCATATTCAAACACGAGAAACGAGTATGAAACAAACTCACTTGCCAAAAATACTAGATAAAGTATTAACAGTTTCTTGAAAAGAAATGTCACCAGTTTTTCTTGGAAGGAAAAAAATTCGTATACTTATTATTTTTCATCTGTACCCAACTTTTGTAAAAGTAAACTCACTTTTTGTTCATCAGTCCAACCTTCACATTTTTTTTTTTCAAATAGTTTCAAATCTTCTGAAATACGCGGAAATGTTATGCCCTCCTCTGGGTTAAATTTGAACTCAGTAATAGAATTAGCAATACCTTCAGCCGTAAATGATTTAATTTACTGGATTCTTAAGTAAAATCGCTTCATATAAAGCCTTTGTGTCATTTCGCTGCTGAACTTGTAAATCCAATAGTTGTTCCTGAAACAATTTTTGTTGCTCTTGTTCCTGAATTTGACTTTGCACTAGATTTTTCGTTAATGCAATCAAATCTTCCATTATGTGTAATAGATTACACAAAAAACACTTTTCGAAAACAGACAAAAAGGAAAAAACATGTATATATCCACAATAAGCACAAGTCTTACTTCTTTTTGGCACGTTGAAATCCCATTTCTTCGTGAAGAACAAAGTGCGACGTATTTTGTTTTTTTTTTTCAGAGCGAGAAAAAAAAAATTTATATAGTCCACCTAGAGTTGAAAAATTCTCCACTCAGCGTGATGAACGAATCTCTTGTTGCCACTGTTATGATGTTGATTTGGGGTTAGTAGAGACAAACACCAAATAACACGTAACAATAAAAAGGGTTTTAATAGGTTGGTAAAACGGTACAGAAATCGCCTGAGTAGTCAATAACTAGCTCAGCTAAGAACTTCTCTATCTGTCTTCTCCATGTCAACTGACATATCACTATTTAAAGTCTTTGTTCACAGACACAGACAAGTTCATCTTCAAGAGGGGTGGTAGGTTTCCGACACAACAGGATGAGATTTTTTTTTTGCTATTTTCTACCTCATACCCCAAAATTTTAAGTTTCTTTCTTGAAAAGACAGACTTACTTTGATTGTATGTAAGGTTTTTCTTCTCTGCAGCGCCAAGACATTTCTTCAAAATGATATCATGTTACTTTTGTGTAATTCCATATACAGTAATATTATCTAGATAAATAAATGTTCCTTCAGGCCTTCTTCCTTAATAAATGCATCCATGCTAGAACGGTAGATCTCTAATGAATAGTTTTCAGTCATACTAGGATGAATTTAGCTTCCAGAACTATCACTATCAATTTGAACATCCATCTCTTTTCCATTCAAATAAAGTTTTACAGCTGCCTTTATCAATGGACTCAGTGTGTTAAACAAAACATTGTTAGCAGATACAGTTGAGGCACTTATAGGGGCACTAGAATGACAAACACATGCATAATGTCCTGCCTTTTGACACTTTTGGCAGACTGCTTCAGATGCTGGGCAATCGGCATGTGGGTGGTTTGCATCTCCACAATAAAAGAACCTGAATTTTTCAGGGTCATTTCTAACATTCTTGTCTGGTTATTGTCTTATTTTCCAATAACCATTGACAGATAAATGAAGACTTCAGACCAGCAATGAATTTGTTAGGAGGCTCAATTTGTTCACATCACTGCTTGCTACAAATAGAAGAAAATTTTGGAAGGGTTTGAACCAATATTCCCATTTTTGTTTAGAACTTTCTGAACTAGCATCACATTCAAGCCTCTCTGGTGTAAGTAAACATTCCATGATTCTTGAGAAAGTACACTGTTAGTTCAAAGTACAGATCCACTGAATATGTTTATTAAATTGTAATAATAAAGAGAAGACACAAACCTTGTACTAAGGTTTTATTTAACATAAAATTGTAACATTGTTAGAAGAAATGGTGTTAATGAACAAAAGTGAAAATGTTAAGAAAGACCATTCCTTAAATATCTAAATACGGTGGTGTCTAACCAAGATTGTTCATTAAAATAAAACAGTTTAATTTTTGGTAGTCTATTTGAAAACACCATCTCTTCTTATAATATTATTTATCTATACGTTATAATCCTTTATATTACTTTTAATTTTTCATTAAAATGTTTCAAACTATTTCTAAATATTGGAATGATATTTTTGTAAAATACCTAAAATGGAATAAATAGATTTTAACAACTTAATGATAAATAAACTCTTATATAAATATAATCTATTTTTTCCTTTGATAAATATGATTCATTTATTTTATCTGATTTGGTTTTCAGTACTAATTAACACTAAAAATATCTTTATGGCTGATTTCTATATAGCAAATAGCAACTATTAATGGCATCTATATGATGCTAATCTGAATTTTAAATAATTTAATAGTAATGAAAATTGTTCAGTACAACATTTGATTCCCAAGAGAAGATCAAATATTCATTAGACTTTCACGAGTCTTAAACTAACAAAAAGACAATATACAAAATAAATTTACTATAAATATATTAAATTTACTTTAACACAAAATCGCATTTCCATAGAACCTGGTGAGGATCAAATACACAATGATTTGCAAGAATAGTTAGTTCACCATTTGACAAAGTTATTGTACTAGTTTGAGCCTGTCACAATATTGGAGAAGCCAGTGATTTTGAACTTATAACCAATACCTTACAAAATTACCTTGTCTACCATTGCTTTATATCAAGCATCCAAGTCATTAAGTAAAACAGAGTTTGAGTATTTAACTTATTATCAATGGCTTTCAAGATTAGCTTGTTCACCGTTGTTCTTTGTCAAGCAGACATTTCTAAGCATAGTTCAGTTTGGCACATAGCTAACATAATAGATTGATCAAGCAAGATTGAACTCATTCATTATACCTTGTAAGACAAAGCTACTAACCACTACTCCACTCCCAAATGGCAAATACAGACTACATTAGAAAAACAGGCTTTTTCAGTTGACCTCTTTATTTTATACACCTTGCACAAAGCAACAGGCTATTCTGAGAGAATCAAAGTAAACCAATCATTTTTCTGTTAACATATTCATGACAATTGTATAACAGTAGATTGACACATATTTTAATTGGATTTGACTAATTTTAATATTTACAGTGTGTTTGCAAAACTTAATCTGATTGGTACAGATGTGTACTAATCATAGTTTAAGGGTTACATTTTAAAGCTGTTTTGGAGTCTAAAATTTAAGAATTTTCATGGTTCATTTCTTTCTTTTGTTTATTACAAAGGGTGTGAATATGACTATCAATAGCAGTCTGGTCTAACTTGAAAAACTTCTGTTCATATAACACAAACTCATGAAAAAAATATGAAAAATGATGGAGTTTCATCTGAAGCTACACCTTTATGATATTTAAACAACCAGAGGATAGATCAATCAAGAACACCATGATAAAATTAATAAAATAACAAAAAGATGAAGAAATCAATTTAAAATTATCAATTCTTCATTTCAGAATCTTAAAATAACTTATTACATCTGCTTGTAAGTATTAAACAATAGTAACATCTTGAATTTTTATTAGATATAATGTAGCTTCCCTGTGCCTTTTCTATAAATACTTTCATGGTAATTATTATTCATTTTTATATTAACATGAATGAAATACTAGACAAAAATCCATAATGGCTAAAATTGCTTCATCTAATAAAAATTCAAGATAATATTTTATTATTAATACTACCAGCATGTGTAAATGAAAAATAACAAATTATTTCCATGCTAAATGATTGGCGGGAAATAAGTAATAAGTTTGTAAGGTTAGATTTGATATTCTATCAACTGTTAGCTCTCATAGCTCAAATGGTTAGAGTAGCTATCATGGGAAGTGAGGTAAAAGAGATCCAAATTTGTGTCTTACTGGGCTTATGGCCATATCACATTGAAACACCGGTTCTTATACGATCACCAAAGTTAAGCAACATTGAGCCTGGTTAGATGGGTGACCACTTGGGAATATCAGTTACTGTAAGCTTGGATGTGTAATGGATAATGGCTTGAAATTGGAAATCAGAGATCCAAGTTCTAATTCGAGTCAGGTTTGTTAGATTCACTTACACGCAAATACCCTTGGGAAAAGTATGAATCAACCTATTCTCCAAGCCATGGCTTAATTAGTAGAACTTTTATCAGTAAAACATTATTATCTCTAAAAAATCTAACAATCTAAAAAATATTTTCTGCCTTTAAAGAACCTGCTTAAAAGGTTGATAAGCCATAAAAACAAAATCAATTAATCAATTATGTCTTGCTAAGAGCTTATACCTCATTTCTAATAATGTCCATTTCTTATACCTCATTTTTAATAATGTCCATAGAACAACAGGCTGAGTAGTTGTGAATAAAAGTGAAACTAAGATGAAAGAAAACTATTTGAAAATTAATAATTGTATGGTGCATATGAATCACAATGACAATGAGAACTCTACCTGACCATAAAAGTTTTGTTGGCTAAAAATGGTTACAAGCTTCCAAAGTATGTTAAAGCCTCATCAGAAGTTACGTCTTTATTCTGATGCATTCACATTGTCTCAGTCAATAGCTGATGAATGCTTCAACCAACAACAATTTGATTAATGGAGCTAAAAAAATTAAATACAAAAGGTATAATCACAAAAATAATTATAATGACCAGATTCTGAGTTAAAAACTATACTGTTGACAATTTATCTGTGAGGAAAAAAATTAATTAAGTTTGTATTGTGTTATGATATCCTGTAGTTTTATTTCTTGAAAAAAAAAGAAGAAAAAAAAAAGAGAGATTAATGAATCAACCAAACAGATTATTGCAATGCACCAAATGTTCTCTTCAATCCTGGTTGGCTTAGGTTTATTATTTTCCAAAGGAGTAATCCTTTCAAGGATTTGGTGCTCAATGATATATCAGTTTATAAGTAAAAAATTATGAAAAATATCAAAGTACTTGAGTCTTTTGTGTTTTTTTTTTCATAAGTGAAAAATCTCATTTATACTCAAGATATACAAATTTTAATCAGGGTATCCAGTCAGGAAATATAGTAAGGGAATGTGGATTGAAAGAGGTCAGATGGTGTAGTCAAAAGGAAATTAATGTTGTGTTCCTATGGCAATCAGAAAACCTGCATATAGAAATATGCAGGAAGGATATTAACAAAGCTAAGCATGTAATCTTAACTGAATGAATGAATAGCAGGCAAAAGGGTTAACTAACAACTTGTTAAAGCAAATGTCAACTTGCAGATAGCATTTCACAAGAGGAGAATATATCAAAGGTTAACATTTGAAAACTAGAGTAGAGAAGACACTGAATTCTGGGATGTAAATGTTAAGACAAAAGAGATCTTTTATATAGTAGGTAAACAAAAAATTGTGTATTTTCTTTCTTTGTTTTATTCACTAATCTCATAGGATACTCATTTCCCTGAGGCACGGTGGAGTAATGGATAGCGGCTTGGATTGAGGAATCGGAGAGCCGAGTTCAAATTCCAGTCGAATCCATTACATTCACTTACGTGCTAACACCCTTGGGAAAGGTGTGAATCCTCTTTCTTCTTCATCCAGCTATGGGTAAATAGCAGGACAGACTGGGTTCTATAGCCTTGGATGGCAACTGGTCTAGGAGAAGGAAAACTCTGAATTCAAAACCTGCTCTTAGATGAGGGTGAATGGAGTCTCTCTGAGCCTTGGTTGGCAATCCATTTAGTGATGGTGTCATGATAAAAAACACCCTTGATAGCCCTAGCAAAGCATCAAGAATTCAGCTATTGACAAGATTATGAACTACACCAATCAAAATATTAGTGAGTTCAATCTTGGCTGAGGCCGCAAGATGATGATAATTTCCCTGATGCATATATTTTTAAATCTGATGTATGTACTGATGTATAGTTTAATTCCTTCAAACTTTAATAAGAGTATTTAAATATTTAAATTTATTAGATTGTAAGCAAGTCCTCAGTTTATCATCATCAATGCTTACAGTCTGTCCTGTACAGGGTGCATTTTTAGGCAACTCATTTCTGGTGAAAACTTTCTTAATATTTGAGCAACTTGGTTAACTTCACAAATGCTATACCTATTCTACAAGTTATTTCGGCTGCTCTTGTTCCAAGTTTAGATTTGTGCAATAGGCAAATTCTAACATTCAACTTTTTACTGCCCTGTCAATCTCACTCTTTATTACTGTAGATATACTCCCCCTAAAGCTTATCAGGTAATAAATGATGTGTATATGTTTGATGTTACTAAAAATTCTTACAGATTGCTGCTGGTTGAAAACAAAAAAAAAAAAAAATTACCTTTTTTGTTTAAAACTGATAAAATAAAAGATTAAGATCACACAAATATTTGGATCGCCTGACACTATCAGAAAAGAAACTTTCAGAAAGAATTTTACTTTCTGTTATAATTCTGTTATCTTATTGTCACCTGTCAGGCTGACCATAGTTGTAACAGCTGCTACTACCTATACAGATAAGGGATTTGGCTGCATTTTTTACCAATATTTGAATTTTATAAACTATATTTTTAGAGTATCTTATAAGTATTTCCACCATTTTATACATCATAAAATATCAATCATTACTTATGGTTTATGCAATCCATGATATCACATGTAAGATTTATTAAAACAAATACACCAAAATAACAATTAACTCTATTAATTTATATATTCGTGATATAGTAATACTTTTTTTTTGCATTAGTACTATTACTAACAGAAGTATCATTTTTTAAGGTGATACACTATAAACCAGTACTATAGATCTGTGGTCTGAGTAAAGTTGTGATAAAAAGCAACTAAAAATTGGGATGAAAGTAAATATTAGTCAAAGTTACTACTAATCGTTCTCAACAAATGTTTACCAATAAGTCAAACACAGGGTAGTAGTGTACTTCATAAAAAAACAAAAAAACAAAGTAGACCCCATATATATCATCTTTTACACCAACATGAGATGTCTAAGTTCCAATTTTCTAGAAGTGGAACATCATCTTCTTTGGTCCAAACCAGACATCCTGTTACTTCCTGAAACCAGTATCAATGCTTCAAGCACATTAGGAGAGATCACAGTCCCAGGGTACTCACCACTTATAGAAAAACGCGACCAGCTAAATCGTCACAGTCTCAGAGCCTACATCAAGGACGAGTTTCCCTCTGGCAGAGATGCAAAAGACAAGGAACCTGATCTCCTGTATATGTGCTTCCATATTGCACTTATCCATAATACCACATTTGTCTGCTCTCTATTGCCCTCAGGATGAGGGCAATAGAGAGCAAAGACAAATGTGGTATCTCAATTTCCCTCAGCTAGCTTTCATATCAGTGTTGACTTTAATATCCACTATAAAGAATGGTTAGTCCACTCCAACAAAACTGATGAAGAAGGCAGATATTGCTGAGATTTTTCCATTGCCTATGAACTAACCCAGATCATCGGTGAACCTCCTTGACTTCTTTCTAAGTTCCTGCCCTGATAAATACTTAGGAAAAGTTTTAACCCCATCCCAGGCACATCAAACTATTCCCTAATCAGTGTCCAGATTGGTGCCAAATCTAAGACATCCACTGATGTAAACTTCCATAGAATGATTTTTTGCTATACAAAGAGACTGGGACGGCTTTTGATCCTACTTGATGGAAGTTCCCCTCCCAACCCTCTTCAAGTATGCTGCCTCCAAAACTGCTGCCCTTGCCAAGGATTGGATCCTTTCTGGAATGTGGACTTTTATACCTCCCCCCCCCCAAAAAAAAATTGCAGCAAAAACCAAACAGTCAGTTCTGGTTTGCCTCTGAATGAGCAGCAGCCATAACTCACCGAAAGCATTAATTCAATATCTATTACAAAGAGCGATTTAGTTTGGCTCTCACTGTATTCAGAACTGTTTGCAATGATTGAAAAAAAAATTCTAGAAAATACCAAGTGCAGCTATGCAGTTTGAAAAGAAACAAATTTGATCCCGTGAATTCTGGAAGATCACCAAACATTTCAGTAGTTGTCCTTAAGTATATCAATCTGGAATTATCCCTAATTCTAACGAAGTTATTCAACTGCTACTTGAAGGAGAAATCTTTGCCAAACATGTGGAAGGTGTCAAGCCCTTTCCTGGTTTTCAAGAATGCTGGTGTGTGATCAGCCCCCTCCCAATACAGACCCATCAGTCTCCTCAGTATTGTCAGTAAACTTTTTGAGGCTATAATCAATAAGAAGGTTGTTGAGTATATAGAAAAGAACAACCTCTTCAGCAACAAGCATTATGGGTTTTGATCAGCCGGATTCACTGCCAATGTCCTAACTACCATAACTCACAGAATCAGTGAGGCTCTTGTTGACAAACACATCACCTGGTCAATAGCATTAGATAGCTCAAAGGCTTCAACAATATGTGGCACAAAGGTTTACTACACAAGCTCTCCAGTTATGGAATCATTGGAAAGCTCTTCTCAATCATAAAATCCTTCCCTGAAGTAGTTATTAATGGCCAGTCCTCCGGAGCCCTGGTGGTCAATGCAAGTGTCCCCCAGGTTTCACTCATACCTGACCTCAAGTGAAACTCTTACATATTATTCATTGCTAAGGATGCAGGTAAAATGGTCTGCTTCCTGTACCACTTCAGTAAGTACCTGACTCCCCCTACTATCCCCTATCTTTGTAAGAGCCAGATCAGGCCAAAAATAGAGTAGTGTTGCCATATTTGGATGGGAGCTGCCCAGATCTCACTCTCCAGCCTTGATAGAGTCTAAAAGCATCTCTGAGCTCTTGTGGGTGATGAATTATTCTCTACCCACCAACCTCTCTCATACAGGCAGGATGTGGCAAGCCTATCGCTGCTCTACCGCTACTTCCACAGAATGTCCTTGGATGAACCACCTACATTCCCTCTGTATTCCATTGGTGAGAATTAAGTTCCATTCAAACAGCTTCTTCCTACTCCCAATGGAATGTTTCCCCAATCACAACAATCTTAATCTGTTCAAAGTGAGGGTTAAATG